GCTTTCCTGCCTAGGGTGGGACTAGAACTCACAGTCTCCTGGTGATTGGCCCAAAGTCACTCAGCCAGTTTTCCTGCCTAAGGCAGGACTAGAACTCGCAATCTCCTGGTGATTGGCCCAAAGTCACTCAGCCGGCTTTCCTACTTAAGGTGCGACTAGAACTCACAGTCTCCTGGTGATTGGCCCAAAGTCACTCAGCCAGTTTTCCTGCCTAAGGCAGGACTAGAACTCGCAATCTCCTGGGGATTGGCCCAAAGTCACTCAGCCGGCTTTCCTACTTAAGGTGCGACTAGAACTCACAGTCTCCTGGTGATTGGCCCAAAGTCACTCAGCCAGTTTTCCTGCCTAAGGCAGGACTAGAACTCGCAATCTCCTGGTGATTGGCTCAAAGTCACTCAGCCGGCTTTCCTACTTAAGGTGCGACTAGAACTCACAGTCTCCTGGTGATTGGTCCAAAGTCACCCAGCTTGTTGTCCTCCCGTAAGGCGGGTCTACCGTTTATAATCTTAATTTTGAGCCTGGCGCCTTAATTACTAGACAAAACTTGTTCTCCTTATATTAGTTTTACACTGCAGATGATATTTATCATTGTGTCATTGAAAAATAACAGATAGTTATTGTCACACAACTACAGGATACAGCTTACCTTTTTTTTTTTAAAAAAAAGACAAATTTGACGTGGAACAAGGAAAAGCTATTTTAAAGGTAATTACAATTACATCTTAATCAATTAATCTGCAAATTAATCTATTGGGAAAAAATCTTACCATTTCCTCTTGTGATCCAGGCCCTGCAAAGGAAAAACAATTCAGATTTTTAGAACAAAACTCTAACAAAGCATCAGCAGGTTTTTTTAAGATACACATAAAGTAATCGTACGACACACTAATTCAAATTTCCCATTTTTTCATCTATACATTTTGCTAAATAAATGAGCGTTAATATTTAATTGAAAGTGGGACCGCTCAAATAAACATTATAGATTGCATCATTGGCTTGAAAAGGTTGTGGTAATAAAAAGGTGTGACAGATTGAGTATTGAAACAGCTTTGATTAACTCGCACCGTTTCTTTTAATCAAAGGTTTTTCCATGCGGTCAGTTATGTTCCCATAAAATCTTCCAACTGTTCCGAATTGGCTTTATTGATTAGTAAATCTAAACGGAGTTGTTTCACACTCCAAAATCAAAATGTGGAATTTCAAGTTGGTGTAACATTTTGCAAAATGCCTGTTTATATCTAAAAAAAAACAAAACCTACCCACTCCCTACCATTTTGCCAAGAAGATCCTATAAAATTAAATGGTTGCCTAAAGGCTGCCTTTCCTTAATATTGTATGTTGACATCTAAGACAGACATTAGAAAAGGTTGTGAAGGATATTCTGGGCAGAAATTTAGACTGACGAGGAAACAAGTCAAAAAGAGGGCCGTGAAAATATTTGCAGACCCCTCACATCCTGGACATAAATTGTTCCAACTCCTACCCTCAAAACGAAGCTATAGAGCACGACACACCAAGACAACTAGTCACAAGAAGAGTTTTTCCCCCCAAACGCCATCACTCTGCTAAACAACTAATTCTCACAACACTTTCAAATTATTTACTAAGACTGTATTCGTATTCTTCTTCTCTTCCTTCCTAGTACCTATCTCTTCCCACTTATGACTATAACCATGTTGCTTGTATCTTTAAAATTTATATTCTTTTATTTGTTTTCTAGTATAATTTGATTGCTTATTAATAACCTTGACTATCACTAAGTGTTGTATCTTATGATTTTGGATGGATGTATCATTTCTTTTATGTCCACTGAGAGCATCTGCACCAAAGACAAATTCCTTGTGTGTCCAATCACACTTGACCAATAAAGAATTCTATTCTGTTCTATTCTACTCCTTATTCTATTCCTTATTCTGTTCTGTTCTTTATTCTATTCCTTATTCTTTCTATATTCTAGTCTATTCTATTCTAAAACAGATTCACTGCAGGTAATACAGAGCACAAGCCAACATAAATCATGTTTAGATCATAAAACTAGATTTGAGGTCTTTCGCAGAGGTTTTTACAGTTAGTCCTCGACGTACGACCACAGTTGAGCTCAACATTTCTGTTGCTAAGCAAGACATTTATTAAGTGCGCTTTGCCCCATTTTACAATTTTTCTTGCCACCGTCGTTAAGTGAATCCCTGCAGTTGATAAGTTGGGAAAGCAAGTGTTAAGTGAACCCGGCTTCCCCATTGACTTTGCTTGTCAGGTGGTCGCAAAAAGGGGATCCGACAGTCATAAATGTGAGTCAGCTGCCAAGCGTCTGAATTTTGATCAGGATGCTGGAATGGTCGCAAGTGTGAAAAACGATCAGTACCTTTGTAACTGTGAACAGTCACTAAATGAACATTTGTAAGTTGAGATCTACTAATCCTCAACTTACAACAGTCCATTTAGTGACCGTTCAAAGTTACAGCAGCACTGAAAAAAGTGACTTATGACCATTTTTCAGAGTTCCGACCTTTGCAGCAGCCCCATGATCATGTGATGCTTGGCAACTGATTCTTATTTATGACGGTTGCTGTATCCCCGGGGTGATCCTCTTTTATGACCTTCTGACAAGCCAAGTCAAACGGGGAAGCCAGATTCACTTAACAACCAGGTTAGTAACTTATCATTGGCAGTGATTCACTTAACAACTGTGGCAAGAAAGATTGCAAAACGGGGCAAAATTCATTGAACAAATGTTTCTGTTAGCAACCGAAATATTGGGCTGTGTTGTGTTCGTCAGTCGAGGAGTGCCTGTATAATACAGCATGCATTTCGGTCCACGTAACGATGACATCTCGCTAGTCAGTTTGTTCAGGTGGTAATAACGTATTTTAATTTTAATTAATTGAGTTTAATAAACCTGCTTTTTAAGTCCTGTGCCGAAAGCTCCTATTCTTGAAACGGGCAATTGCAAAATTTGCAGAAGAAAAAAATAAGACTTCAAAAGTGCAGAGATATTTGAAGAGCTCAGCTCTCCTTTTTTTCGACCTTTAAGGATACAGTCATGTTTCGCAGAGGTTAGGCAATAATATTTCTTTACTGGTATGAAATTGAAAACGAGACATTAAAAAGGGAAAGAAATCCATGCCTGCGTGAGGATGCCAGAAGCAACGTTTTCCCCTCCTCCGTGAGATGGAGGTGCCAGCATAATTTGTCGATATGACTTCCCTGCTAGAGTGAGGGACTAATGCGCATCGAGAGCTTTCGTGCTCTCTAAAGGCTGAGTGTCACGGAACGGTTGTAAATCCTGCTTTTGCATCCCTCTGGCGAGATTTTTACAGAAACCGTTTCTCCAGTGCTTGGCATGTTTCTCAGAACTACATTTTCCAAAACAGGCACACGCAGGTCTCCGACATACGGGCACAATGGAGTCCTAAGTTTCTGTTGCTAAAACAACAGTTGCTAGGTGAATATTTGAACCACAGTTCCTGCTACAATTGTTAAGCAAGTCACTGCCGTCCTTAAATTGGTAACATGGTTGTTAAGTGAATCTGGCTTCCTCGGGGATGTTGCTTGTCAGGTCGCAAAAAGGGATGTCACACACAAACACACACACACACAGTGACTCTGAAACCATCATAACTAGCTAGCTAACATCTATTTATGAATATGAGAGATCATATCCATCTCCCTCTCATCTCTATCTTTCTGTTTATCTCTGCCTATCATTATCTATCCATCCCAATATATTCGGAGGCCCTGATTCAGATTCTTCCTCTTTTCAAGAAGTTTCCAAAAAGATGTATAAATCATTTTGAAAACAACCTGGTGAAACATGCTCCAAGGTCTGCTGAACCCTCTTCATGCTCTCTGGGCTTGGTGGTTTTCTTCCAGACATTTCATGACCAAACTAGGTAATGTTATCAGTGCTAGGAGGAGGAGGAGGAGGAGGGAAGAGGAGGAGGACGATGACTGTGGGGTCCTTGGTGCTCTCTGAGCTTGGTGCTTTTCTTGCAGACATTTCATGACCCAAACTAGGAAACATCATCAGTGCTAGTAATCTAGCAGCACTGATGATGTTCCCTAGTTGGGTCACGAAACGTCTGCAAGAAAACCACCAAGCTGAGAAAGGACCAAGGATCACTTCCTCCTCCTCCTCCTCTCCACAAACCCAACTCCCCACTAGCACTGATGATATTCCTCAGTTGGGTCATGAAATGCAAGAAAACCACCGAGCTCAGAAAGGACCAAGGATCACCTCCTTTTCCTCTTCCCTGCAAACCCCACTCCTTTCTAGCATTGATGATGTCACCTAGTTGGGTCATGAAAGGTGTGTAAGAAAACAAACAAGCTCAGAGAGCCCCCAGGACCCCTCATTTCAATCCTGAGTTACAGACGTTCTCCTTTATGGGTGCCTCTTCATGCTCTAAAATCAGGAACTATCTCGCTTCCTAGGGAAATCCTTGGAAGCTAGAAACCAAACTGTCTTAACAAACTTTCATTAAACGTGAAAGAAAAGGCGGATTGGTACTGCCCGATTGACCTCTTTTCCCACAACACGAAAGTTTAGAGGCGCCATGGGGAGCTTACCACGGAGGGCCTCTTCGCATCTTTTAATCCAGGTGGGAAAGGCGGAATCAGCACCTACAGGTAAAAAGAGGCAGAGTTAACCATGCTACGATATCGTTGGCCAAAAACACGATCATCTCTTTTTTCCATTTCCTTCCGTTCTGAAAGTTCTTCAGAACTTGAGACTCTTGGCTTTTGCTCCTCAAGACAGATTTCTAGCGCTTAGTTTTGTAAAATGATGTTGGAAATAGGTAAAGGCGAAACGTGTGGCTCTCCATCACATCTATGGACCCTTGGCCCGCGTGAATATGAGAATAACGCCAAGCATTAGAAAAACTAGCTGAAAGAATTTTTTAGAGTGCTGCCATTTCTCACGCAGTTTATTCAGCGTGAAATGGAGCTGAGTTATGTAGCAGGAGGCTGTATATTCTGCAATATTTACATTTTTAGTAAACTCGTTCAAAGAATCCAAGGTCTGCAAGCTGAGAGAACATGCCCTGCTTTGATGCATTCGCACAATTTCAGTCAGCGTGAGATAAATCATAAAACACAGTTCAGGAAAATTCCTTTATTCCACTATTTTGCAAATCTATTGTACATTATAAACTGTAGGATGGTTTGAAGAGAAATGCATCTGTTCCACCGGGCTCTTAACTATGAGGAAGAGGGGCAGCAGTAAAAATGAAAGGGAAACCTTCTAAGCAGCTTATAAATATAACATTAAAGAGCACCTGTCATTTCAGATCCATCATGGCAGCCTCCGTTAGCGGGCATCCACTCACCTGCTGCCCGCCACATCCCTCACCTCCCTGCTGGATCGCCAGCCGTCCCAATTCAAGTGACTGGGACTGTCAGTGAGTCAACAGCAGGTCAGAGCAAGGGTGGCCTTCAAAAATTTTAGCAAGGAGTTGTCTGTCCGGTTGCTGGGTAGGTGTGGCCCCTGGTGGGCGTGGGCTAGTCAGCCTCCTGCACCATGGCAGGAGGAGGGGGCATTTTTGCCATCCCCGGACTCCGGAGGTTTTCTTTGAGCCTCCGGGAGGGCGAAAACAGCCTCCCCAGGCTCTGGAGGCTGGAAATGGGCCCAAACCTCCAGAAGGCCCATTTTTTGCCTTTCCCAGAACCTGTGCGCGCCCTGCACTTACCTGCAACCAGAACGAGCTGCATGGGGTCTCCTGGGCAGAGCAGTGCAGGGTGGGCGGGGCCATCCAGGAGTGGGATTTGGAGATCCTCCAAACTCCACAGAATCTTAGCTAGAGGTTCTCCCAAAGCCCTGTGAAACCCCCCAACAGCCCACCCCTGGAGGAGGAGCCGCTACGGGACAGAGATGACAGTTGCCCTTTAAAAGATTATGATTTAAATCGAGTAGACTTAAATCAAGCCTTTCTACGAGCGATTCAAATCGTGATTTTAAATCGACTGGATTTAAACCAAATCCACCCTTGGCGGGAACTCTGGGCGTGTTTCTCTCCTAATAAAGCACAGCAGGAAACCATGATGTGATCTCAGCTTCTGCTTCTTGGCCCTGCCTCAGAGGCAGAAGTCAGAGTAGTTTTTACATTACAGCAAAGTCAGTGTGAAAGCAGCTTCGATGGTTGGTTTTGCTGTTTTCCATTGCAGAAAAAGAAAATAATAATCAAGTGGCTGTCACGGAACAGAGGTCCCCCAAGGGCTATTTGCTCGGGGTAAACCAGAAGAATCCTTCACAATTTCGGCTTAGCGTAACGAAGAAACGCAGCCGCCACCGACAGATAAAACAACAGCAACTGACATTTCTATGAAGAGCGTGAGATGACCTCCGCGGGAAAGGTCCGGCTCACAGAGAAAGGCTAATTAATTTTCCAAGGTACTTAATCTTTTTCCAATTAAAATGTTTTTTTTTACCAAGCAGCGAAGTGTTTCCAATGCGTGCCGCACAGGCTGCCCGAGTGTCTTTGTAATGTACAGGTGTCCTCGATTTACAACTGCGATCGAGCCCAGAATCCCTGTTGTTAAAAGTCACGGCAGTTTTAAGTCGACGATTCGATGCGATCAGGCCCAATTTTACCATATATTTTTTTTGGCAAAATGCTGCGGTTGTTAAGCAAATCAATGTCATGTCCCTATGGCCACATTTTGCTGGAAACTAGCAAAAAAAAATTTGACATAAATCGCAGATATGTCATCGAGGAACACTGCAACACCACCTACATTTGAGCCAGTTGCCAAGTGCTCAAAATGCAGTTGTGTGACAGTGGTGTGTGTGTGTGTGTGTGTTTGTGTAGCTACCAGAACTCCAGAACTGGTTCCTAAATAACTTTTGCAGCATCTGTTGTAACAGTCACTAAGCGGCTAGTCATTAAACAAGGATGAGTAGAGTAGATGAGTAGAATTATGCACCCATTTCCTATGAACTACTGCAGTGGTTCCCAAACTTGGCAACTTTAAGACTTGTGGACTTCAATTCCCAGAATTCTCCAGCCAGAGTTGAAGTCCACA